ACAAAGATAATGTCTCCCTGCCAGGCAGAGTTTAGGCACAGTTACTACCACATATAAAAGATTTGGGTTCCCTGTGCTCGGGGTTCCTCTCTTATAATGCAACCATGGTGTGTGCAGGCATCATCTAGTCCTATTCATCCCTCACCAAGGGAATTGCAGTTGGGGGAACCAAGGTACTTGCAAAAGAAGGCTTTTGCTAATACTACAGATCTTTGTTTCTGACCCAGGAGTCTAATGTCTTCTGCCAGTATCTATGAAACTATGGTAGACTAACTTATTAGCTTGAAGGTGAGATAAATTCTGAGACCCTTCACATTTCTTAACAGTTACGTAAAAAAGTTCTGAACTTGCACTGATAAGGCTGAATGAATTCCTGAATGAATCCCTGTGACAAAGACAATGACATGAGTTGATTGAACTAGTCACTGTGGCAAGGGGTTGGAAGTTTGGCTTTTAACCTTTAGGACCTATTATTGGAACTAGAGATGGAATCATTCCCCTATCCTTGCAGACTATAAGAGAAGTGGAATGGATGTTGGATTAATTATCCACCACAACTTTATTGCATATTCCAAATTAAACATGTGATAGATTCATTTATAATTTCTTAAAAAAAACCACTTCAAGAGTGAAAGAACTTTTGCTCTCACTAAATGGTGGCTTTTTTCTGCTCTCTCTTCCCTATTTTCTTTAGGTTTGTGCAGTGGCATCAGCTAAGCTAAACACCCTTCTGCAGACCAAAGTGATTGAAAGTCAGGATGAAGCATGCTATATTTTAGGGAAGCTAGAACATGTTCTAAGTCAGTCAATCAAGGAACAAACGGAAATCTACTCATTTCTGATTCCCCTCGTCCGTACCCTGGTTTCCAAAATTTATGAGCTTCTCTTCATGAACTTGCACCTGCCTTCCTTACCTTTCACCAATGGTAGTTCCTCGTTTTTTGAAGATTTTCAAGAATATTGCAGTTCAAGTGAATGGCAAGTTTACATTGAAAAATATGTAAGTTTTACCTTTTTTGAGTGAAATTTTTCTGCTAAATTATTATTTTTATGGAAGTCTATATTAAATTTTGTATATATTTTTTTAAGATTATACCTTATATGAAGCAGTATGAAACCCATACATTTTATGATGGTCATGAGAACATGGCGCTTTATTGGAAGGATTGTTATGAAGCCTTAATGGTGAATATGCATAAAAGAGACCGGGAAGGAGGAGAAAGCAAACTCAAGTTTCAGGTAAAAATTGTTAAGTGTTTTAGTAGCTAGTGTTTTTTTT